GTTTCACGTGCTCAACTCAACAATACTCTGTACGCAGTTCAATTACACATTGTTCCTGTCGCTTCTTGGTCGGTCTTATATATACAAGACTACCCCATATCTAGTAGTCTCCCGACGCTTGATAAACGTTCTAGAAGCGTGGCGTGTTACTAGCGTCAGGTGACCTCCGCTGTCGTAACAGTATTATAAATTCATATTGCACCGAAACTTTTTCACCTCTTTATCAATGAAAATAAGCCATTACATGGACTAATTACACTTTCCTTTAAAAATTACGATATATATATATATTGTATCCAAAACAAGAATAAAGTAAGGAGTAAATATACCGTTTCATTTGTAGAGATCACACAGTAATATATATAATCCAATCCAAATGTACATATTACTAAGTTTGTACATGTTTTTTCATTGTTTAAACATTGACTGAAACTTATTAGTCTTCTTTCCTGTACATAATCTACAAACAAATTTGTTTTATTTTAGTGATATATAGTCTTCAACTTACCGATCTAGAAGCCATTTATCGTCATTGTTTATCTTCAATTGTACCATGTCGATTAATTCTAAAGGGTTTGAATAATTGCGAGGATTGTTAAATCATTTTATATAACGTTTTACGACGTTTTGGTTAGTATATTTGAAGGCTCAGTGGAAAAGCAATAGTAAACCTTAGGTAAGACACTGGGTATCAAGGGCATACAGTGATTTACTAACGCCAATTAACAGATTCTGAATATATAATAGTAGGCTATTTCAAACATTCGTGCTAAATTTTATTTATCATTTCAATAATTAGACCAACATGTGTAGTACGATAAATTTACTAATGCTCATTTCCAAGACTAGAAATTTATGGAGGAAGTATGACTGCAACAAAAATCGAGAATGATTTCCTCCATGTGTTACTTTCTTGCAACAGACAGAAATTTAAGTTTCAAGTTGAAAGACACAGACAAAATAAGCTAGTTTTTGAACATAAAATTAAAAGGCAAGCAGTCAATTTTAGCTATTACTAAAATGTTAAAAAATATTAAAATGAATGTGGTATGCACAATTGTTTTGATGTTGTGGTATCTTGCTGATGACCAACAAGCATAGAAGTTAGGCCAATTAACACCTGGCGATTCTTGGGCTTGGGTTTATACTTTCCAACGAGTTATGACAATTGAATCACAGAGGAAAAGACTAGAAACAGACTTAAGCAGAATTATAACAACAAATGGTTTATATAAATAGTGTTCCAACCACTATTGTTTGTTGTATCCCAGTCAGCCTGGAAAGCTCTGGATAGAGTGAAACGAATCATCGTCGATGGATATGGCAAATATAGTGCAGTTGGAATATTATTATAATATATTATTTTATTTCTTGAAATTTTTCTATGGCACTAGATAAAGAATGTAGTATTAAAAAAATGCCTAATTCTTATGACAAATAAAATTTTGATCATGCTTCATCAGCTTGTAAAAGGCGTTCTCACCATAATAATTGTTACTATATTACTTTTACTCAGTTCATAAATAATATTTCGGATTTCATAGCCTTTTATTTGCTTTTCATATTTTGAACATTCCATGTGTCAATAATTTTATATAAGCAAACAACATGGCGGAAAGTGAGTTTTGTAATCATAATGGGAGTGTTACCTGTGTTGCTTCTGAAAATACTTCAAAATTAATAGCATCTGGTGGTGAAGATGGGCAGGTAAAGTTATGGGTTTTTGACGGTAAACTTAAAAGTTTGGCATCATGTGTGCGACCTGCGGCACATATTATTGAAAATAAAAGATCACCGGAGTCTGAAGACATTGCATCACTTTGTTTTGGAAAAAGTGATGTTCGACATATTTTTGTTGCAGTTGGAAGTTGTGTTTTTTGTTATGATATTCGAAGTTTTCAGAAGCCAACTGAAAAGTTTACATTTAACGAGGAAGAAATCAATCACATAAGTTTAGATGATAGTGGTGAGTTTCTAGCAACTGCTGACGATTCAGGAACTGTTACAATAATTTCTCTTAGTGAGAAGCGTGTGTATAAGTTACTGAAACGTCACAGAAATGTTGTTTACACCGTCCAGTATCGTCCAAAACGGCGATGGGAAGTTGTAAGTGGTGGATTTGATTGTCATCTGTTTCATTGGAATGTATTGAAAGGAAAACCATTCTGTGCATGGGATTTAAACTGTGAAGATTATAAAACTGACATATCTTTAGCTTCGAACATTAATCCCCCATATGTGTTAAATGTACATTTTTCTTCTGATGGAAATTTTCTTGCCAGTGGGCAAGCTGATGGCTCTGTAAAGATTTTCAGTAGTCATGGAAAACGGATTAAACATATTGAATCTATTCAAGCACATGCAGCTGGAGTTTCTCAAGTACACTTTCCTTTATTGACTACAGACAGCAGAAGCATTCTGTTGTATTCATCAGGAAATGATGGAAAACTAATTGCTTGGAAGGTGATTTCACAAGAAAAAGACAAATTTAAAAGAGCAGATATATGTGCTGTTTGGACATCTAGCAGTAGTGAGAAAACAAACTGTATCACTTCACTGTCAGAGCATCTTATTGTCGCAGATACAAGCCCACAACTAAAGGTATTCACACTGCCTCCATGATATGATAACAGAATGTCAATTTATATTTAGAAATATGAAAAAGTACTTGTGAATATGAGTAATGGAGAACCTGCTCAAAATCTTATTGTAATATACTCCTCTTTAATAAAGAAAATGCAGATTACTGTTTAAGTGTATTCTTTTTAATATTTAAAAATGTGAAATAACTGTCATTTAGGAAGCTAGAAAGATAAACATTTTATGTGAATTTGTTAAGTTTAGTTAATCTTCATAATTTGTATGGAGATGTAATTGCTGCCATAAACTTTTCAAATGAAAATGCTATAAGAACAATAAGTTATGGAATTTGGAAACTTTGCAGTTTATGAAATGTACTGTATGTTTTTTGTTGTTTTTTCATATTCAATTCTACATAATTTAAAGTACCATAAGTGTACATGAGGGCAGTACGAGATATCCTGAACAAATATGTTTATTCTTTCTAGCTAATTGTTCTATTCCCTGGGGTAAAAGTCAGTAGTGAGCAGTTATGTAACAAATTTACCTCCTGAAGAATAAAAGAATTAAATTTTGAATTCTGTTTTAGGGCTCACCTTCTTTTTATAGTAACAATTTCTTTATCAAATGTAAAGGATCTTAACAAGAACTTCACAAAGACCTATGGCTCATACTGCTTTAACATATTTAAAAATTTTATTCTTATGCATTAATTGTTCATTTAGTACTTGCAGAGAAAGTGTATAGTGTGTGTACTTGCCACAGACATCCAGGACAAAGGGATTCTTTTAAAATATGTCTTCAGAATTCCCTCTCTCTCACCTCCAACAAGGTAAAAAAATGCACAATGTTATTTATTAACAAAATAATACAGACAAACAAAGGCCCATTTGGTCCTTCAAAGCTGTTCCTGTACACCCTTTTGTGAGAAAAATTAAAAATCTAAATCCACTCTTAATTCTTCAGTAAATCATTGGTTACCATTTTAAACATTTGTAAAGTGTTGGCTTTCACTACTGTCAACATCAGCTTTTCCCATAAGCTAATCACTCTTTTTAAAAAAATTAAACTGCCCAAACTGGAGGCTAGCTTGTATTTTTTCAGATTTTAAACTTTTTGTAGTATCTTCAAATGAAGGACACAGAAATCAGAGATCTTTATTTTATTATTTCACCAGAAAATTTTGCAAACTTGAAAAAAAATCCTATCTTTCTTTTTTTTTCGATAGAAAATAAGATTTTAATCTATTTCCATAAGATACCCTTTCCATTCTGGGAATCATCTAGTAGCTCTCCGAACCTCAGACTAGTTAGGGCACTTGACTTCCAATCTGAGGGTTGTAGATTTGAATCCCTGTCCCACCAAACATGCTCTCCCTTTCAGCTGTAGAGGCATTATAATGTGATGGTCAATCCCACTATTCATTGGTTAAAAGAATAGTCCAAGAGTTGGCAATGGGTGGTGATGACTAACTGCCTTCCCTATAGTCTTTCACTGCTAAATTAGGGACATATAGCCATCGTGTAGCTTTGTGCAAAATAATAAAAACATTCTCGGAACCCTTTCCAATAACTCAATATCCTTTCTTAGAGAAGGAGACCAAAACTGTACCCTCTACACAGTATTCCAAGTGAGGTCTAAATAGCAATTTGTATAAAGAGATAAATACCTCTTTTGGCTTGTAATCAATATGTGTGTCAATACACCCTAATGTTCGATTAACTATACTGATTTCAATATAGCACTTTATGGCTTGAAGGACTTATCTGTTTCTAAGCCACGATCCTTTTCTTCTGTCATACTATTAAGTGGGTTCCCATCTATAGTAAATGTTAGACTCAAACTATATGAATTCAAATGTTTATCTTGCAATTACTGTCATTAAATGCAATTTTTAAAATATTTGTCTAATTTGCCAGTTGGTCCAAGTCATTCTGTAATACCTCTAAATACTCAATGCAATTAGAAAAATCCAACTTTACTAATTTGTTAGTTATACCAGTATCACTGTCAGTCATTAGGATCATTATATTATTGAAGGTATGTGGATGATACTTTTTATGTCTTCAAGGACCCAAATCATGTTTCTCATTTTTTGGAGTGTTTGAAAAACAAACTTAATAGTATTAAACTTAGTGGTAAACAGTGGCAAGATCATAAACTTGCATTTCTAGTCACACTAGTTATTAATTGTGATGGCTCTGATGGGTGAATTAAAAGCTTAAAAGAGGGATTCCACATACAGTTTGGTCACCTATACAGACAATTGTGCTACTTGGAAAGTAGAGCTTACTCTGCAATAGCTTTGGCAGATCTTGAGGATATTCTCATTGATAAGTTTGAGGAATGGCTATCCAGAAAAATAATGAAGCACCATCTGGGTTAAAGAATTCTTCTCATCTTTACCAAGGGAGTTTCTGTTACAATTAGGTACAAAATGGTAACTTTGAACTGGTCCCAAGAAAAGAAGGCTGCAGTGACTGTACTTCAGATAGACCATCTTACCCAGAAACCTTACACTGTGCCAAGCACAAGCCCATATAGTGGTTCAACAATAATTCAAATATCTTAGCATTTCAACCACAACCACATGAATGGTCAGTTTTATTCTGATCCTCCCTTGGTTTGCATTCTGCAGCCTAAACTGATGTTGTCTTGGAAGAGAAGAGCAAAGCATTTGCTTTGCTGGTGGAGTATTGAGTCATTTTCAAATGAACTGTCCATACTTTGTTGGGGAGCAAAGGAGACAAGGTTATCATTTTCGACTAATAGCTGGGTAAGTGCAAAAGTGGTAAAAATATGTAACAATTCCAAGATACTAACAGAGTTCAAGTTGGGCCCATTCACCCACTTGGGGGATGCAATAAACACCTTGCAACAAAAGTTTTGGTGGTCAGTCCAGGTATCTCAGAACAGGATAGGTCTTGATATGTGCCTGTCAAAGTACAATATAAAATGCAGGTTCTGGTTGACACAGAAATGGCCAGATTACCAAGATATCCAAAACTGCTAGTTGAGGATTGTGCAAACAATATAGACTCAGTGCAGAGGCAGCAACTCATTGACTTGTTGGGTCAAAATACACATGTATATGTGGGAGCAAATAGCTGATTATGTCAAACAACAGTAAAACATCACAGATATACTGATGTATCATGTCTAATTAGGCAATCACTATGCTGACTTCCCTGGAGCACTGAGATACAGTTGATATCAAAGGACAGAATCATACAGCCTTCAGAGAGTGCTTGATCATCTGCAATAGATTGTAAAAAAAAGAAGGAATGTATTGCTTTTAGAAGGAATGAATGTGATAACTTGCATTGATGCATTTCCCTTACTATAGACAGAGGGATGTCTAGATTTGTTGGAAGGTTTCCATTCATATACTGAGAAGTAAATATGGATAATGAGAGTAGACCTAAGACTTCTTTCAGCTTGAGAGATGACTTCCATGAGTTTTACATCATGCCATTCAAGCTTGTGTAACATGTCAACCAATTTTGAGAGGCTATTGAAGGGGCTGCAATGGGAGAAACATCTGATCTATGTTGATGACAACTAAATGTTGTGTCACAAATTTCAGTCTGTGGCTGAGAAGGTGAAAATGGTAGTCAAATGGATAAAATTGGTAGGCTTGAAATTGAAACCAGAAAAATTTGTGTTCATTTGAATGGAAGGGGAATTTTTCTGGTCATATTATTGGTAGACACGGAATCTCCATGGATCCTGCTAAAATAATAGAGGTGCAATAGTGGCGTCAACTTGTGACCAAATGAGAAGTCGCAGTTTCCTTAGTTTCATGTTGTATTACCAACTTCTACATGATAGCCACATCATTGTTGGCACTCACTAAAGTAAAGATGGAGTGAGGAATTTGAGCAAGCATTCGGGTCTGATGTGTGCTTTGGTAGGCAGGACATTGAGTGTTTTTAGACACCAATGCCAGTGATAGTGTGATTTGAGCAGTTTTACCACAGTTGTAGGATGGAGTAGAACATGCCATTGCACATTGTAGGATCCAGAATTCAGAAACTGTATGACAAAGATATAATATTTTACAGTTGCAGTCTTCATAAAAAAAACTATCAACTCTATGTGTATGGTAGAAAGTTCACTATTTGAGTGGATCATGTATTTCTGAAGTCATTGATGAACTTTAAATATCTTGAAAGAATGATCAAACACTGAATAATCTGGTCATACAGCACCATCTGGGCTAGCAATTGCTGACTGATTGTCTTGCTATACAGGGAGAAATGTTCTGTCCCTGAATACCTCATGGAAGTTGAAACCATTTCTGCAATAGCAATGATAAAATATACAGTAGAAGATTTAGCTAGTGAATGAATGCCATGATTTACTATTTGAGTCCCAGGAAGAGCAACTGAAGGACCTATATCTACTGTGGGCATTCCTTTCTGTGAAACTCAGCCATTCCAGGAATTTAATACAGATGCATATAATCTTGTGCTCTTGTACAAGCAGTTACAAGTTCAGGAACATGCATCATATCATTGTTATTAATCACTGAACTATGGTGCTTAGTATGTGTTGCATCTAGTTTGGACACCTATACAATATGAGTCATCCAGTGAAAACGTTGGCCTAAACAAGGTAAACTACAACAGATATTTGTTTGTTCTACCCTACAAAGAATAGTCCTGGATATTTATAGTCCATTCCCAGAGATGAGACAAGGCTAGCAACTACTTCACAAAGTGGGCTGAGGATTATTAGTTGGTTGATACATCAGCTTAATCTATGGTTGATGCATTTGCTGAGCACTAGGTAGTTTAGTATACCTGAAGAGATCCATATGTATCAGGGAGCTAATTTCAACAGCCTAATTTCACCAAGTTATATAAAGTGTTGAAGATGTGCGTATATCACCCCAATTTGATGGTTTAGTTAGAAAGGTGATACAGACTGTCAAGCATGTACTTGTTACGATTTTTAAATTCCAACAAAACTGACTGAAGCAAATACCATACCTTATGACGGCATATGGTGCAACTGCGCAGAAATCTGAAAATCAACAGGTTGCTTGCATAATATCTTCACGGTTAGACAGAGAAACTCTTGCTCCCTGTTGAAGTGATGTATGGTCTTCTGACTAGAGTAAATTCACAACAGTGTTCACAAGAATATTTGGAGTGGTTAAAGTCTGTGTGTTTGCACATCAATAGAAAGGAAAGACCATCATATGTGAGAAAAAGTGATATTATAAGACAGTAAAGAGCAAATATACCAGTCTGGAGACTGGATATGGCATTGGTATGTGCCTAGCTGGACAGGACATTCTCTTGGGTTCCAACAAGTTGGTTTATTAATGTGTAACTTGATCTATTGAAAGGCATGAGAAGGTGCATATCGACCAACTGCATCTATACTTTATGGATGAATGTCTAAAAAAATGGCTTGACCAAGAATCAGAAGAGGGGACTAGCAAGTCAGAAGAAAATCAGTGCACTATTATATTCCATTCTGACTCACATGATGAAGATGAAAGAGCTGGGAATAATTAACTGGCTATTCACGACAAGTCAGATGAGGAAATGGCAGATCTAGAGACAAG